GTTGAAGTAAGTATAGTGTTAGTGTTAGTCAGTTGGACCCTAGCAGGATCGGATTCCTGGGGTTTAGCAATTGGTAACACTCAGGTCAGCTGATAGTCAGAGGGCTAGTCAGCATAGGTAAGACAGAAAGAGTCTCGGATAGACTCGCGGAACAAGCACAGACTGCATAGAACAGCCGGATATAGAGGAAACTCTGCCAGAACAATCAGTACACCCGAAAAAGTTGTGAACGGAGTCTGTGGAGCCAGTAAACAGTCTACATAGTCAGAGTACGCACACACAGTGCCATAAAGCTAGACAGTATTGCACATACTTTTGTCAGAATCATCAAATACAACCGCAACCAACCCGAACTCGACGAGGTCAATTTTGGAAAAACAGGAAACCCCATACACCTTGTGGCAGAGCTTCTTAGGTTTATAAAGAGCTGAGATTCACCCCTCACCCAAACATTTAGAGAGTTGTTATATAAACTCTTCTCACACCCAAACCTCGAGAAGTACGACACCGCCTGGGCTAGGGATACGGCTTGGGGCGCGGGTTGCTGAGCGACTGGGCTGTCTAGTCCCTGGTAGGCTGATGGACGCGAGTACAGCTGCTCGTAGCGGCCGTCCTAACTCAGTTGTCGTTGGGAGGGGAGTTGCTAAGTGAACCTGGATGAGCGCGCCTTGTTCCACCTCAGGTCGTATGTGGTGTGGTAACTGGGACCAGTCGGTATCGCTGTCGTCCCCGTTGTCCAACCGGTGAGGGCAGGGTTGGCTCGGGCAGATGTGCCACCGCTGATAGTTGAGGTTGTAGTGTTGGTCTTCTACGTCGACAGGATGAAAGCCATGGAAAAACGAGCTACAATCCAGGATGGAAAGGTGGGGGAGACAGTGATAAACGGAGTGTTAAACGTGGGAGGGCGCTGGTGCCTGTGAGCTAGTTTCGACCTAATGTTACGACTGACTGTTGAGCGAGTAAGTGGAGACGAGCGAGGCAGGCAGGAGCGCCGACGAGCTCTGATCGCAGTGAGACTGGAGCGGAGCTCAACAGGCAGGACTGGAGACAAGTTGTGTATTGAGCGAAGTATCTACAGAGCGAAATATACGATGGCTTACCTGGAGACAAGAGGTCGAAACTAGAGTCTCCAGGTAGCAAGGGATCCAGCTATATACAGGGAACGAACAATGGGCGCTAGGGAACAATAGCGTCGCCATGGGTACGGAGTACAAGGGGTGTAGGACAATAGCGGACATGGGGACAAAGGGAGCTATTGTCCGTGTGTGGACAAAGGGAAACCGTAGCGAGTAGTGAACAATAAGGAAACGTATGAGGCAGTGGTCCGAATCGAAAAGGAAACGTAGCGCCGTGAGGGCGGTTCGTGACAAATATCACACATGCAAAGATATGATAGAAATATTCATTGAGGGCAAATACGGTACGACAGCAGCGCGAGCGCAGAACGGCCATGAGGGGAGAGAGCATAAAGGTCAGGCACAGAGAACAGAAGCACAGTGCGCAATAGAGTGCCGCACGCAGCACAAGGCCTGCCAGCTTCTCCACTGCATCAACCCGCTCCATTCCGTGCATCTCACACTCCATCATCTTGCGCGTCACCACTACCACCGTAGCTTGTTGTGCATCGCTCTCATTGACAAGCCGTGGGCTGGATGTAAAGGTCAGTTCCGCCCCTTCCATTTCACGCGTCAGCCTTCTGGGCTCGGAATGAGCAAAGTGTCTCTTGTATACCAGTCCAAGCCCAATACCTCGAAGTAGCCTTTCTACCGCGAGCATCCGGAAGGACTGCATCAACGGTGGTGCAGGCCCTTCTACTTCCAGAACGGCGTCGGGTTCCCCTCAAGCTAAGTCCAATACGATAGCAAGCGAGAAGTCCCCCGCATAAAAGACAGCGCGTTCTGAACTAACGCCAAGTAGCGTGAAGAGGAGACGGAAGACGTGTGCGTCTTCATTGACCGTCCAACAGCTTGTACCGCGTCCGTACGGTTGACGATATCGACCAAGTCCAAGGTCACTCGCAAGTCCATCGCACAATCGGTGTCCGACACTCGTGAGCAGAATAGCCTTGGGTTAGGGTTACGGCTGCAGATCGTGGCCAGTCTCAATACGGGAGGACGTTTGGCATGCATGAGGTCATAAGTCATGACCTGTCAATCACCTTGTCTTTTCTTCTCAAAAGCCCGCGCGCGTGCCCAGATCAGTCATCACCCCCCTCCTCTCCTCTCCCATCATCGACATGCCCAAAGATTGACTGGGTCAATACTGTCACCGCTGACGCACCGTATGGTACTTGAACAAGGTCGCCCCACAACATCGGCCCAGGCTGCTTCTTCTTGCTCGACAAACCGCTCTCCTTCGCCATCTGCAGGTTCCCTACCGGTGCTCTCTCCTTAGACGTCGATACCAGGCCCGTCCGCGGACGTGTTTTCGGTCAACGTGCGGTCGTTCAGCCCGTCTTCTTTCAGGTCTGGCTTTGACGAGGCAACAATCTTGTGCATTGAGCCAGGCCATACGACAGGTGTGCGTTTACTTCTCACTGCTCGGCAAGGACGACTATACTGATACCCTGCATACGTGTGGAAAGGTGTAATACGCGCTGCACTAAGATGAGCGCCATCTCTTGTCTTTGGTCATCCGGCCACTCACCTGTCAAGCGTTGCAGTATTCCATACAATATCGGCATTGGCATCTACGTCGAGGATGCCTCAGGTGGACGGCTCCGCGTCTTCTTCGTCTGAGTCACCCTCGCTTCCGCCTAGTCAGAACAACTACACTCCTAGGGCCTATCATCCTCCACTTCCCCAGCCGTCACTGAGCTGACATCCACTTTGGCGTCTCCCT